CAACACTGAGCTGACGAGTCTGCTCAAGTAGGGGGTCAGGAGTGGGGTGCAGGGCCGGCGGGCACTCGGAGGTTGGCGAACTCGGCACCAGCCGGCCCCTCTGGCTTTCCCTGTGGGTGGCCTCGTGGCCCGGGGTTCAAGGCAGGCCTAAGGCACAGGGCCACCTGCCCAGGCTGCCCACGGAAGGAGCCTCACACCACAGCCCAGGGGGCACCCGGGGGCCCCAAAAGCTCAACCAAAGGGTCCTGCAGGCCCAAGGACAGAGTGAAAGCTGAGGACCTTACAAGCTGCCCCAAAGCTCCAGCTTCCACGGATAGACACCAACTGCCCCCAACAACAAGGGAGCCCGTGCCACTGGCCTGGGCTGCATCTCCCAGCAACGTGCCTGCTCTCGTGCCACAATCTGAGGCCGGGACAAAGCCCCCTGGGGACACAGAGGTGGGGGTAGGGCCCGTCTCCCGGACCTGAACTCTTTAAGAAAGATCCAGCCACAACGTTCTAAAGACTTTAATCATGGCTGCGGGATACAGGTAGCTCCTCGTGTCACCGTGCAGTGGCAGCTCTGGGATAGGGCCCATCTCCCAGACCTGGCCTCTTTAAAAAAGATCTAGCCACAACGTTCTAAAGACTTTAATCATGACTGTGGGATACAGGCAACTCCTCGTGTCACCGTGCAGTGGCAGCTCTGGGGAAGGCAGAGTGCGCCCCGCAGCGCCCGGCACGTGTGCGGCTCCGGCACCAGCGCCCGCACTGGTGCCCCGCGGACAGCACCCTTTCAGGCCTAGTTGGACTTTGTGGAGATCCGCAGCACCTGCGTCGGAGGAACCTGCAGTTCCGAGTTTATCTGGAAGAGAGGGCGTGGAGGTCACCCCGCTTTCCCGGGGGCCCCTGCAGGCCTCTGGGGGTCTCCCACAGGCCTCTGCATCTCCGCACGCCTCCCCTCCCCGAATGCTGCTGGATGCCTGGGGAGCCCACAGCTGCCTTCCTTCAGAAGCCATGTCCCAGGGCTTCTTGCTGGGCTTCTGCTCCAGCTGCTCACCTCGGGGGAGGGGGACATCCTTAACCTCCACTCTGAGCCAACCTCTTAAATCAGTGGTTCTCAACCTGTGGGTCGCGACCCCTTTGGCGGTCGAACGACCCTTTCACAGGGGTCGCCTAAGACCATCCTGCATATCAGATATTTACATGACGATTCATCACAGTAGCAACATTACAGTGATGAAGTAGCAATGAAAATAATTTTATGGTTGGGTCACAACATGAGGAACTGTATTTAAAGGGCCAGAAGGTTGAGAACCACTTGTCTTAAATTCTCTCCCCTCTCCGCCTGCCACCCCACCCCTAGTCTAGCCCTGCACTTCCCCACCTCCTCCCCGTCCTCTTACACACAATAGCATCGACGGAAGGGTGGACCACATGGTCCCCTAATGTCTTAATCCTGTCACGGTCAAGGGGTCATCATGACACCCAAGCTGACCACGTCCCCTGTTTAGGTGCAACCTGCAGCCTGAGACCACACTGGGTGGCGCAGCCCCAGGGCCTGGCCTGTCACCTCTCACAGCCACAGCTGAGGGCAGAGGAACTATGCTCAACCCAGTGTCACGACCGCCCTGGCCCATGGCCTCAGCACCGTGGGAAGGACACCCCACCACAATCAGAGCCAGCAACTAACTGTGTTACGAACCAGAGGGAGTAGAGACAGTGAGATCCACCCCCCCATCGGGCCTTGTTGCCCGACTCTCGCGGGAGTGGGCACACATGGGGGCCAGGGGACACCTGCCCCAGTTGGAGCCTCCTCTGCCCATGGCACGTCCCAGGCCAGATGATCTGGGCTGCAAAGCGGGGAGGGGCCCTGCTCTGGGAAGTCACCAGTCTCCTTTTCGTGAAAGGGGGAGAAGCATTCTGCCTCCTCTTCCTACAGACGGTGGTGAGGACCAAAGTAGGAACCTCGCCTGGAAGGGCTCAGGGAGCTGACACCTCAGGGCCCTGCATTGCTCCTGAGAGGGTGCGAGGAGCAGCCGGCGCCCAAACCCGGGCATCATGGAGCCTGACATCCCATGTCTCAAAGCTTGCTTACCTCAGTGGGGGAGAGGGCTCTTCACGTCTTAATATCAGCCCCAGGGTGCATCCCCCCTTTGCTCCCACCCTGCCTCCTGTCCTCACCCCAGGGACCCGCCCACCTTGGAGCCCAGGTATTTCTGCAGCAGCTGCTGCAGCTCCGTGTTCTGCTGCTCCAGCATGCGGCACTCCTGCAGCAGCTCCGCCCTCCGCATCAGGACCAGGCTTTGGGCAGAAAAATCCGTGAGACACCATGGCCTCCTCCATCCTCTGCCAAGGGTCCCTGTTTCTGCTCAGCTAGAGGTGGGAGAGGACCCCAGGAGCCGCACCCACCAGAGCAGCCCTCCTGCCCGTAAGAGCGGGGGGCTGGCGGGGACAGGACAGGGGGAGCAAAGCCAGAGAGCTAGCCACCAGCACTGCCCTCCACCCCCCAACAGCAGTTGCCCCAGGCAGCTCCTCCCCAAGAGTTCATGGACAGGGAGGCGGCACACGCAGCCGCTCTGCGCGGGATCCCTCCCCACTGCCTGCCAGCTCCCTTCGGGGCCATGACGCACACACTCACTGGTATTTCTCCAGGGCTGCGTATAGACCATCCCAGAGGTTCTGCCTGGAGCGAGGGATCACCGTGGCCAGGGCCTTCCAGTAGTCAGAGTCCTTGGAGTTATCGCGCGTGGCCTTCTGCAACTTCACTGGTGCCCGAGCGTCCCTGAAGGTTAAGGGCACTGGTGCCATCAAGTCCAGCTGGCACCGCCCAGGCCCCCAGGCACTCCAGTCACAGTGCCTGTCCCTCACAGACTTACTGCCCTTCCACCCGTCACCTTCCCAATCAGCTATACAAGCCAACCAGTGGCCGCAAGGTCCGAAATGTTGGCAACCACTGATACAAGCTAATCGGGTTATGGGAGACTCGGAAAGGACACACGCTTATCATCACTGCCCCTGATTCCTGGTGCCATTGTCACCTGTGGGAGCACCGCTGGGGTTTATCCACCCTTTTCATCTCAGTCAGTTTACCTCACTGGCTTTGAGCGCATTACTGTGCCCATTTCTCTCACTAACGCCTCCAAAACAGCTCTCAGAAGCTGTCATCGCCTCTCCATCCACTCTAGGAGAGCCTTGATCCAGGACAGCACCTCCCAGCTGCCCACTGCTCTCCTTGTAGCCAACATCACCCCCTCCCCGTCGCCAAAACGATCTTTCCAAAATGCAAGTCTAACCCCGGTTCCCCCGCTGCTGAAGGCTTGTTTCTAGCTCTGTCCACCCAAGGGTGAAGACCAAGGGCTTGGGCGCACAGCAGGCAGGCTTTCCGAGATCTCCCACCCACCAGCCCCCTAACCAGACCTGACACTCGAGCCATACCTCCCCGTTATGATTCCTGATTCCACCAGGGCTTTCCCCAGGCTGTGACATCCTCCACTCTACCCAGCTAAGAAAACCCAGTCCCAGGGCCAGCCTCTCCTAACGCCCGCCCTGACGTGCCAAATGGAGTTGACCACATCCTCCTCTGAGCAAGGTGACACCTGCAAAGGCGTTGACAGTCGTTCTGATCACGAGGTGTTACTCCCATGGGGCCTACACACAGCGGACTCCGATAAAGGAGGAGGTGGATGAACGCATGGTGAATGAAATCGCTTCAACGCCCCAGCTCTTCCGTTATAGTGCCCGCCGATTCCTCCAGCCCTCCTTCTGGACATCCCTTCACTCACTCCCCCAAGTCCTTGCTCGGTCAGCAGCCTCTTCTCCTCCCACCCAGTTTCCCCAGTCAGGCAAGACCTCCACACACAGCCCACCTGGGCTTCTTCAGACCCTTGACAAAGGCCTCCAGAATCTTAAGGACATCGTTGGGGTGGATGAGCCTGGGAGACGTGGAGGCCTCCTCCTCTTCCTCAAGACTTTCTGCCTGCTCTTCCTCAAGACTTTCCTCCTCCTTCTCCTCTTCTTCCTCCTTCTCCTTCTTCTCCTCCTCCTCCTCCTCCTCCTCTTTCTCCCTCTTCTTAGAGAATACTCTTCAACATTTCATCTTCTCCCTTGGGGACTGGCTCCAGTGCTGGCATCATTTCTCCCTCCTGCAGGGGGTGACAGATTCTAGGGGTTGATCTGGGGAAAGGCGCCAGAGGTAACTATGGGTTGGGGATATACAAACATGTGTGTATAAAGATAGACAGGGAGAAAAAAAAACACAGAGAAAAATTTTATGGAAGTTACAGAAAAGATCAAAGGGATGCATTTACACTAGAAAAGAAATAGGAGAAAGAGTGGAAAAGCAGGCAATGGGACCAGGCAGAGGCACGTGGGGGCTTCAAAGCAATGATAAAGCTCTATTTCTAAATCAGGGCTGGTAGGGGCTCCTTTTACTGTGTTCATAACGCTTGCATGGTATATGCCTCCTTTTGAATCATAAGACTACATAAGTTCTATTTTAATTTTTAAATTTCAAAAAGTCTTCCTCCTACTGCTGTTTCTCAGCTCATTCCGTTTATTTCCCGCAGACAAACCATGTTGTCAGTTTCTTATCTATCCTTTCAAAGACATATTATGTCCATACAAGCACATACTTTTCCATCCCACTTTTACATACGTTATACTATCCAACATACATGATTCTGCACTGCTTTTCTCATACCAATAAGCCTTAGTGATCTTATCGAATAAATACACAAAGAACTATTTGTTTCTTTTTTACAGCTGCATAGTATTCCATTGTGTAGATGCACCATCTACCATCTAATCCATTGTGTAGATGCACCATCTATTATCTAATCCATTGTGTAGATGCACCATCTATCATCCAATCCATTGTGTAGATGCACCATCTATTATCTAATCCATTGTGTAGATGCACCATCTATTATCTAATCCATTGTGTAGATGCACCATCTATTATCTAATCCATTGTGTAGATGCACCATCTATTATCTAATCCATTGTGTAGATGCACCATCTATTATCTAATCCATTGTGTAGATGCACCATCTATTATCTAATCCATTGTGTAGATGCACCATCTATTATCTAATCCATTGTGTAGATGCACCATCTATTATCTAATCCATTGTGTAGATGCACCATCTATTATCTAATCCATTGTGTAGATGCACCATCTATTATCTAATCCATTGTGTAGATGCACCATCTATTATCTAATCCATTGTGTAGATGCACCATCTATTATCTAATCCATTGTGTAGATGCACCATCTATTATCTAATCCATTGTGTAGATGCACCATCTATTATCTAATCCATTGTGTAGATGCACCATCTATTATCTAATCCATTGTGTAGATGCACCATCTATTATCTAATCCATTGTGTAGATGCACCATCTATTATCTAATCCATTGTGTAGATGCACCATCTATTATCTAATCCATTGTGTAGATGCACCATCTATTATCTAATCCATTGTGTAGATGCACCATCTATTATCTAATCCATTGTGTAGATGCACCATCTATTATCTAATCCATTGTGTAGATGCACCATCTATTATCTAATCCATTGTGTAGATGCACCATCTATTATCTAATCCATTGTGTAGATGCACCATCTATTATCTAATCCATTGTGTAGATGCACCATCTATTATCTAATCCATTGTGTAGATGCACCATCTATTATCTAATCCATTGTGTAGATGCACCATCTATTATCTAATCCATTGTGTAGATGTACCATCTATTATCTAATCCATTGTGTAGATTCACCATCTATTATCCAATCCATTGTGTAGATGCACCATATGATGGAAATTCAGGTTGTCTCCAATCTTCTGCCATTTCAAATAATGTTGCAATGAGTAAGCTACAATAAACATATTTCAAGTGTGTGTGGGGGGGGCGGGGCTTACACGGTGAGTACGGTGGTATGGTTTTGTCATTATACTGCCAAATTGCCTTCGTGGAAGCTGCAACAGTTTACACTCCCACTAGCCACTTGTGAGTGTGCCCGTTTCCCCCACCTCAGCCGTTACTATGTGTTCTCAAACTTGCAGATTTTTGCCAGCCCAACGGGTGAAAATATATTTGAGTAGTTTTAATTTGCATTTCTCTTGTTACAAGAAAGCCTCATTATCTTTTTTTGTGTGGTTAAAAGTTATTCGTATTGCCTCTTCTAGGAGGTGTTGAAATGTTCTGATCTCTTGTCTGCTCTATTGAGTTGTTGGTCTTTTTCTTACTGGTTTATGGGAATTCTTTATATAGTAAGGAAATTTGCCCTTAACTGTCATGAGTTTAAAGTATTTTTCGCAGCTGTCATGAATATCTTAACTTTACTTATAGTGATTTTTACCCTACAGATTTTTTTTAATACATTCAAATATATGCTTTCTTTTTCTTCCCCCGACCCGTCTACTGTCCAACCTGCTTCGGTGCCTGCAGCCGTCGGCAGAAGCCCGCAATGGTTCGCGGCCACAGCCTGCTCTGGCATTGTGCACTATGAGTTTTCTTCTTTACGGCTTCTGGCTTTTGTCCACACAATCAACTCTTTTTTGGAAGCATATCAAGAGACTCACACATTAGGGGCTAGTAATACTAAAAACACCTTTTAAATTCAAGTTTTTAATTTTTAAATTAAAATCCTACATTTTTATCATGATGACTTTCTCAAAATAGTCCATTACAATCAAGACAGGCATACATGGGCTGAGCGTCACACGGACCAATCACTGACCACTTGGTGGGCCTGGACCTCACCGGGAAGGCCTGGCTTTGAGGGAGGGCCTCAGTGTGAGGCCAGCCTCTCATCCCAGCCATCCTTCCCTTTGCAAACAGAAAAGGCGACACTAATAATGACGATGCTGACTTAGCTCTCCCTGCCACGAAACCCTTGCTGTTTCTTTAAAAATATCATTCAGCCCTAACCGGTTTGGCTCAGTGGATAGAGAGTCGGCCTGTAGACTCAAGGGTCCCAGGTTTGATTCCGGTCAAGGGCATGTACCTTGGTTGCGGGCACATCCCCAGTAGGGGGTGTGCAGGAGGCAGCTGATCGATGTTTCTCTCTCATGGATGTTCCTAACTCTCTATCCCTCTCCCTTCCTCTCCGTAAAAAATCAACAACAACAAAATTTTTTAAAAAATATATCATAGCCGTAACTGGTTTGGCTCAGTGGATAGAGCATTGGCCTGCGGACTGAAGGGTCCCAGGTTCAATTCTGGTCAAGGGCATGTACCTTGGTTGCGGG